GAGGGGTAAAAGGGAGCTGTTATCAAGGGGTTCAGGAAGGAAGAAAATGTTTTGAAACTGATCGTAGTAACAATTGTACAACAGTGCTTGATGTGTATGAACTATAAGTAGTATGACAGGATTAGCTCCTAATAAAATGGTTTGGAAAATAAAGTTACAGTCTCAGAAACTCGTAGAGGCAAGTCTACTGTGTCCTGTAGAGTCACACTGACTCGAAATCTACTCAATGGCAGTGAATTATAAGCTGTGTCAACAAATGGGCTATAAATCTATCTAATGGTATTTGTATTTAAGTTTAATAAGGTCTGAAAGGTAGAAAATATCAGATGGTAGGTAATTTGAGGAGTTATCAATTTTTGTGACATACATATGATACTGGATTTAATAGTCAATTGATTGTAAAATAAAATTGCATACCCTTCCATAAGTCATGATAAAGACCGGATTTAAAACCAATTGAGTGACTGATCAAAGAGTTGAGAGATTTTTACTTTTTAGTATTCATTATCAACTCAAGCAAATACATGTACAATACCTGTACAATTCATACAAAAATCTGTCAGAAAATCATTGCCACCTTTTCAAATCTTCTGTCTCTCAGTTTGAGAAGAAGTCAGGAGCCAGGGATGAGAAACCATACGGAAATAACCTCATTCATCCTCCTGGGACTGACAGAAGACCCACAACTGCAGATACTGATGTTTATATTTCTACTTCTCGCCTACTTATTGAGTATGACTGGAAATATAACCATTGTCTTCCTCACATTAGTGGATTCCCATCTCAAAACAGCCATGTACCTGTTTCTCCAAAATCTATCCTTCTTAGAAATCTTGTTCACTTCTGTCTGCATACCAAGATTCCTACACAGTATATCAACAGGTGACAGGACCATTACATATGATGCTTGCTTAAGTCAATTGTTTTTTGCAGACATGCTTGTAGTAACAGAATTCTTTCTTCTTGTCATCATGTCCTATGATCGATATGTGGCCATCTGCAAACCTTTGCATTACATGATCATCATGAGCCACAGCGTCTGCAAAAGTTTTATCCTAGGCTGCTGGGTGACTGCCTCTTTGATGATATTCCCAGCCACTGTTATGCTCTTAGATCTGGAATTCTGTGGTCCTAATGCCATTGACCACTTTTTCTGTGATGCTAATCCTATTCTGAAGATTGCATGCTCAGATCCATGGAACATAGAGCAGATGGTTCTGGTCTGCTCTGTAGTGGTCTTTATCACGACTCTAGTATGTGTGGTCTTGTCCTACACATACATCATCAGAACAATTCTAAGATTCCCTTCTCTGGAACAAAAGAGAAAGGCCTTTTCCACCTGTTCTTCCCACATTATTGTGGTTTCCATTGCATATGGAAGCTGTATCTTTATCTACATCAAACCTTCAGCAAAAGATGAAATGACTATAAATAAGAGGGTAGCAATACTAACTACTTCCATTTCCCCCATGTTAAACCCATTTATTTATACTCTGAGAAATAAACAAGTCAAACAAGCCTTTAAGGACCTAGTGAAAAGAATTATATTACTGCCAAGAAATTAGGGCTAGAAAAACATCAGGGTAACAAAGCGTATGTTCTTCACTTTGTATGCTATTTTGAGATTACGATCTTATGAAGAATTAACGACAGGGTTCTTTCTTCAGATGTTGTTTGCTTAAGGAATGTTTCTTGGAGGCCTAGTGAACTTTACATAAAGTATCAATAGTTCAAGATGTTTTACATTAGTAATTGTTCCTATATGCTTATCATGAAATAAATATTTCTTAAGGTCACTTAACAACATTTTCCCTGGTAGCTAGTGGGTTATTCTTTGGTCAACAGTTTGGGAGAAAGATGGGTCTTTCTACTCCCATTAAAAATACAGTCTTGGAACCCAACAGGGGCAGTTCTACCAGATCTTATTGAGTTGCTATGGGTCAGCCTTGACTCAATAGCATTGTGTTTAAGATTTTGAGTTTGGTATATATTTTAAAACACCCTCCACATCCTAGATTAACTACAGAAAAAATAGTCCATTAGTTATTTGTGGCTTTTGTAAATTAATATAGCTAGATAACAGGAGCTTACCATAGAATAAACATGGATTCTCAGGTAGGTAATGGGATTTTTAAAAAAACTACTTCAGCAAGAACTGTGTTAAAATGAGTCACGAAGGTTTGATCAAAATGGCTTTATTAAATTTCTCCTTTACAATGGTGTCTTAAGAATTTTTATAACGTACACTGATACTTATTATGTAATGATAAAACTACAAATGTAACATATCTCTTCAAAATGAGATGGAGAGACAGTTGCTTTCTCAGAGTAGAGTCAACAGTGCTGACGTGATTTGGGCAAAAGTCTGTGAAAGTAGAGATTTCAGGAGAAACAGCTTAAAAAATCAGCTAATTATAGAAACTTGGAATGTGCAAAGTAGGAAAATTGGAAGTCATCAAATATGAAATAGAACATATAAATATTGACATTCTAGGCATTAGTGAGCTGAAATTAACTAGTATTGGCCGTTTTGAATCAGAAAATCACATAATTTTCTATGGCTTGAAAGGCACAATCAAGAGAAATGGCTTCACATTGCATTCATTGTCAAAAAGGACATTGCAAAACCAATCTTGGAAGTAAAATGCGGCCTGCAGTAGAATTATATCTACCCATCTTCAAGGAAATCCAATTAAAAAAATCCAAAAAACTATTATTAAAATTCACCATAAAAGCTAGTGATGAAGAAATTGAAGAATTCTACCAACGTCTTCAGTCAGAAATTGATCAAAGTATACTCAAGATGCAATGATAATTATGAGCTGTTGGACTGCAAAAGTTGAGAACAAAGAAGAAGGAATTGTTGTGAACAAGAATAGGAAAATATGGGCTTCCTGATAGAAACAATGATGGAGAGATCATGATAGAATTTTGCAAGACCAACCAATGACTTGTCCATAGGCAATACTGTTTTTGAACAACACAAAAAGTGACTATACATGTGGACTTCTCCAGATGGAATCCACAGAAATCAAATTGACTACATCTGTGGGAAGAGACAATGGAGAAGCCTGCTATCAGCAGCTAAATCCAGGCCAGCAGATGTCTATGGAACAGACAATCAATTGCTCATAAGTATGTTCAGGAAAATTTGACATCAATTGCTTATATGTAAGTTCAGGAAAAAACACATTCTCGAGAAGGAAAATACAATCTGGAGTCTATCTTACCTGAATTTCAAGAACATCTGAAGAACACATTTATCTCTTAGCAGGTGTCAGGCTATCGGATAAAGTAGCTTTTGGGGTCTTAAAGGCTTGTCTCCAAACAAGCAGCCATCTCAGTGAGATGTCAACTGGGTCCACATGGAAGAAGCGCACCATCATCGGCCATCAAAGGACTATATATCATATAATCCAAAGTTGAAGGTGGGTAAATAAGAGTTTAAATTGTGGCAATCATGTTTGCAGAAGGCTATGGATGAGGTGAGATCCCAAGGCACACTTGTGGGAACTACATAGGAAATAAAACCTCCTGTGATCTCTCTTTATCCATAGTAGAGGGATGGTAGGGAAGTGGTTATCAAATAGAATGTATTGGAGAGATGACTATAAGATCAAAAGGATAAACCTGATTTAAATGGTTAAAACGTTGTCAGTTGCTCCCCCTTTTGATGCATAATAGGCCTGATCTAGTTTCCAAAATTGTATTTTTTTTGTTTGTTCATGTTGGAATATCTCAGATGTGTTATATAATCTTGCAGTTGTGTTACATATTTTTTTTCTGTTTTTTCATTTATGAAACCCAGAACAGATAAACCTATAGGGACAGCAAGTAGAATAAGGATTTTGTGGGAAGGGGAAACATTATAGTGGCAAAGGTGGTGGGTGGAGGATACCAAGGAGTCCAGGAAGAAAAAGAATGTTTTGAAACTGATTTTGGTAGCAATTATACAAAACTGCTTAACTTGATTGAAATATGAAAGTTCATATATGTTAATTACCAATGAAAAATAAAATAAAAGAACAAATTTGACTCATTAAACACTATGACAGAATATTTGATAAACTCTGGGAAGACATCAAGACCATCATTTCTGAAGGGAGCAACAAGTCATTAAAAACACAGAAAAGAAAAAGGGATCAAAATTGATTTCAGAAGAGACTCTGAAACTTGCTCTTAGCATAGAGTAGTTGGTGCAAATGAAAGACAGCATGAAGTCAATGAGATGAATAGAAATTTTGAAAGGGCAGCTAAAAAAGATAAAGCCCAATATATAATGAAATGTGCAAAGACCTAGAGTCAGAAAATAAAAAAGGAATAGCATGCTCAGCATATCTTTAACTGATAGAACCCAAGAAAAACTAAAAGCCTCAAGTTGCAATATTAAAAATTTCCATAGGGAAAATGTTGAATGAGTCAGGAACATCAAAAGAATATGGAAAGGATACACAGAGTCACTCTACCAAAGGACACGTCCACATTCCACCATGTCAGCAGTTAGCATATTAGCAAGAACCAATGATACCGAAAGAAGTCGTCCAAGCTGAATTGAAAGCATTGTCCAAAAACCAGGCTCCAGAAATTGATGGAATACTAGTTGAAATGATGAAGCGCTGGAAGAGTTTATTATTTATTACTCTATGCCAGGAAATTTGGAAGACAGCTACTTGGCCAACTGAATGGAAGAAATCCATATTCATACACATTTCAAAAGAAAGGTGACCCAACAGAATGCTCAAATTATAGAACAATACCATAGACATCACATGCAAGTAAAATTTTGCTGAAAATCATCACACACCAATTTCAGCATCCATTGAGAGGGAGCTTCCAGTGTTTCAGGACAGATTTAAAAGAGTGCATGGAAGAAGGGATATATCATTGCTGATGTCAGATGGGTATTGGCTGAGAATGGATGATACCAGAAAGGTGTTTTATTTTATGTTACATTTTATTGTGTTATTTTATGTTGTGTTTTATTGACTACGCCAAGGAAATCAACTGTTTGGATCATAACAAACTCGCTAACCTGAGAAGAATGGGAATTCCAGAACACTTCGTTGTGCTTATATGGAACTTGTACATGGACCAAAAGGTAGTTTTGCAAATGGAACAAAGGAATATTGCATGGCCTAAATTCAGGAAAGAGATGAAACTGGGTTGTACCCTTTCAACATATTATCCAATTTGTATGCTGGCAGCTCACCAAAGAAACTGAATTATATGAGAATTTCTATGTGAGGATTAGAAGAAGGCTCATTAACAACCTGTGAGAATATGCAGGGCAAACAACCTTGCTGGTTGAAAGTGAAGAGGACTTGAAGCACTTGCTGATGATGAACAAGTATTGAAGCCTTCGATATGGATTACAACTCATTGTAAAGAAAACCAGATTCCTCACAACGGAACTGATAGGTAACGTCATGAAGAATGGAGAAAAGGTTGAAGTTGTCAGGGATTTTTGTCTTATCTGGACGCTCAATCAGTGCTCATGGAAGCAGCAGTGAAGTGGTCAAAAGATGCATTGCATTAGGTCAATATGCTGCACAAGACCTCTTCAGAGATGCAAAACAAGAATGCTACTTTGAG